CTTGCTACCAACTTCCAATCCTTCCAACAATCAGTAAAAGTAAAATGGTTAAATAATTCTAGAGTCTTTAACCAATGTAAAGACCTGGACAAAATGCAGTCCTTTAAGGTTTGACTGCTTCTTCCTTTTTCTTGAAGATTCTAGCATTACTTTCTTCCCATACTGTCCATAACAATGCTGCTCGTGAGCATCTCCACATTTTCCTTCCTCTTTTATGGGGCCAAGAGAAGAAAGAAGGGTTAAAGATTGTGCTTACTTCTGCTGGCATATCCCAACTAGACCAAACAAGGATAGAAGCCAAGCCCAGAGCTCTGCAGTGACATTACAAAATAAAAATAGATGATTGCAATCCTCACCATGAGATCTGCAAAGAATGCACCAGTTTGGTGAAATACAAAGGACAGGTCTTCTCTTTTGTAGGTTTTCCATCGTGTTTACTTTACCATGCCACACTTCCCAACACAAAGCCATAACCTTGGGGGGGACCGGCCTACACCAGACTTCTTTGAAAGGGAAACTCTGATGAGAGGGAGATTGGCAGAGGAACTTGAAAAAGGAACCACAAGAAAAAGACCCTTTGGGGTGAATGGCCCAAATCCTTTTATCAGGTTTACTTTACCATTTCCCAGCTACCTTAACCCACATATTTCCTAATATTTCCATGACATATTTCTATTTCCAGGGTACGACACAAAATATTATAGGAATCAACATCTCCCCAACTAAAACTATCAGTGCTATGTGCTAGTACACGTGATGGTAGTACAACATAAGTGGGCAACAATATTGTAGATAATGTGAAGTGGCAGTAATGCAGTATTATTTCCAACCTAATGGACACAATTACCACTTTATGCCAGCTCAAATTCTTTTCATACACGATGATAGTCTTAGATTTTGGACAAAGTTTCTGGGTCTGTTTGAAGCTCAGTTCTGTTTCCCAGAAAATCTGCTAGCAGTGCTTCAGAGTTGGCATTTGAAGGGTCTCTCTAAAGAAGGCAAGGTCATTTGGGGAGTAGGACCAGCATTAATGGTTTGGACAATATGGATGGAAAGAAACAAAAAACTGTTTGAAAATATGTATGTTTCAGAGGAAAATTTATGTAAAGGATTTTGGGGTAGGATGTACTCATGGGAACACATAAAGTTTTCAAGAATAGTTCTTATAGCTCTTTTTGTATCTACGCACACAGGGTAATCAATTTAGAAGATGTACAGCTTTTGATTGGGCACTGCACAGCTCCTTGTTGTGCAGATTTGGCTTTGCTTTTTGTCTAATATATTACATCACCTTTTTTTCTCAAAAAAAAATGTGTAATAGATTATTTGGTTGATCTATTAGAACCACTTGCACATTCTATGGTTATTTTTTATGAATCATTCTATTATGTACTTTTGACTCTAAAATTTGCAGGACAACTTTGCAATATATTATTTTGTCTATTAACCCTAGTTTCTTAGCTTTGCTTGATTGCTTAAAAGTTTGGAACAAGATAATAATTTAAAATAGTGTACCTATGCATCTATTATTTTCACATATTTCATGTCTCCACCATGTCTATAATTTTATGATATTTCCATGTGATATTGCAAAATGTCTACTATAGTGTGACCCAAGGAAGAGTGGTCTGGTCCCCAAGGTTCAGGCATCCTCTTTTTGATGGGAAATTGAGGAATGTGTGCGCCTTTTGACTAAACCAGCCAATGGAAATGCAAGTAGAAAGAAGTGATGCATGGTGGTGGAAAGATAGTGGCGGTTTTTTCATTTAAATCATTCTATAATGCATTGGAAAGAAACCAGGTGGAGAAATCTGGTGTCATCAGGATTTAAGGAAATCCTATTCCTCCTAGAGAGGAAGCTTCTGCATGGCTGCTGACCTTAGACAGCTTTCGTACTCATGATCATATTAAAGGAAGAGGAATTTGTCTAGCAGAAGAGGCAAGTGTGATGCATTTGTTTATTGGATGTTATTTTGTCGAAGTATATTTTGGGAGATTTCGAAGGAAAGAAACAGAAAATTTTTCAATGGCCAATAAAAGCCCACAGATCAAGTTGTCTTCTTGTGTGGAGAGAAGTTCATGGAATGGGTTTTGCTTCTTCCATAATTTGAAGGAATCACAAATGAAGGTTTTGATTGTAATTTTTTGTCTGCTTTAGATCTTGCTCTTGGGAGGTGAAAACCTTGTAGTTTTTTTTCTCTTTTGTCTTGAGGTGATCCCTCATCACCGACTTTGGGTGTAATCTTTTATTAGATTAATAAAATTTTCTTTTATTTATTACCAAAAAAATGTCTCCTATATTTGGACAATCAGTTTTTCCACTGGCACTCCATTTTAAACATTGATTATGTTATAATAACTAGAAGAGTTGCAGACACATTATCTTCAATAAGTAGGCCATCTCCAGTATGGCACATGTGAGAAAAGGTCATAGGAACATGATGGGGAACCTGGGATTATGATCTACAGTTTTAGAGATAATAAGTTTGGCTTATGGATCAACCAATAGAATATTCCATCAAAGGCTTAACACTGTTCAGTGTTCAAATAAGATGTTACTGAGACTTCCAGACCTGTAAGTCTGCAATCTCATTGCAAAGGCTTCCACCAGCTGAAAACCAAGTCAAATTGAATAAAACAGATGCAATGCAAATAACCCTTAACTTTCAGGCATAGGGGGAATATATATAGAAATTGTTAAGGGACCATCCTAGTCAGGACCCATGGGTTTTAGGAACCCTACAAGAGCTGAATTGTTGGCAGTATTACAAGCTTATGGATCAGAAGATCACTTAGTTTCAGAAGTGGTTGTGAGCTGGCTAAAAGGAGTCAAAGAACATGGAGTACCAAAACATTATGGATAATTAGAGGGATAAGAAGTTTGGGAAGGGTACTAGAAACCAGCTTCTCTTGGGTTCAAAGATCAGCAAATGGAAAACTGCTACCAATCAAAAACAAAAACATCAGCAAATTGCTTGGCTGATGGAATTGGATAAGCAGGGGGTTAACAGGGGCCAAATATTTTGAGGTCAACTATAAGAGTAAGAACTAAGAAATATAAATATTAAAACAAAGGTTTTGGTGGCAGATGCTAAGTTGCTAACCTAAAATGAGAAATGCTTAGCATGCTTGTATGTAATTCATTTTTTATTCAATAATCAATAGACGGGAGTCAATCAAAAAATGTGATATTGAAGCCACACCTGGAACAGAGGAAAAATGCAAGTTCATGATGCATAATGGACTAAATGCAGCTGGTATGGCTGTAAAAAAACTTATCAGTTATCACAGGTATAAAGGACTTCAGTGATAAAATCACTTAGTTGTATGCAATTGGTTAAGATTCCCACTGAAACTACTAGTAACAAACTTAACCACAAAAAATAAGTATGATATGTTTTATTTATGCTGCAGCAACGTAATTTTGTATTTCTAAAGCTGCATGCTTATAAACCGGACCAGAGATCTGAAAAGTTTTCTCTGTACTTAAAAAGATTCTCAGTTTGAAAGTAGTAGAGTTCTGGTACAATATTTGAAGCCCTAAACCCTAGTAAACATCAAGAAACGAAAAAAAAAATCAAGAAGAGTTTCATAAATAAAGGGTGAAGATTATTACTTTAGGACTTGAGTAAGAAGGGTAACTAAATAATGTTGTAAACGAATCAACCATGAAGCAGCAAAAACCCGAAGAACCAAAGGAACTTAAGCAATGGTAAACTACAATATACGAATCTACCAACTAACCTCAATGAAATACCCAGTGCCAACATCGACTAAAACTTTATCGGCATCGTCAAGCGTCCCGGGGACATAAAGAGAAGCCGTAAGCGGCACTAGCATTTTCTTCCCTATATCCAATTTCAAAAATCAAATAACAACCTTGGAGTCGCCGGAAATCAAAAGAACAAAAACAGACTGAAGATTGGAGTACTGGTTATATGCGAGGGAGAGAGAGAGAGAGAGAGAGCGAACAAAACCTTGGGGACGGAGTGAAAGATCATGAAGAGCGTTGGAAGCTATCTCGAGACGAACAGTAGCAGTTCTGATGTTGTTCAAGCTGTCTTGGAGCAGATTCACCTCTAGATCAGATTGTTCTTTTAAAGCTTTTAGCTGCTCCAGACTCATCTTCTCCATCTCTGGAACCCTAATAGCGCTTGCTCCTACTTTTGAAGCCATGGATGCTCTCTCTCTCTCCCTGCTAATTGTTTAAAGGTTTGGACTTTGGAGTTGCATCTCTGTGTCAAAGTCTCAAAGGTGCTAATCGTTGATCCCTCTCACTCCGTCTGAATCATGCCGAGGCGTGGAGTTGCAGAAGATTTGATAAAGAATGGGCAGACCGTTTTAACAGCTGAAGCCCCTATAGCTCAGTGGTAGAGCGTCAGTCTTGTAAACTGAAGGTCTGTAGTTCGATCCTGCATGGGGGCATTTTTTTTGTTCATCCACTCGTATTGACCCACTAACCCATCACTTTTTTTTTTTAATTGCATAAAAACAAATAATTATATATTTTTCAACTAAAAAACATAAAAAGTTCAATTTTTCAAATAAAAGTAAAAATGCATAAGAATACAATAAATAAATAAATATATATCATGTAAAACATGTAGATTATGGAAAAAAAACATAGGAAATAATAAAAATTTAAATACAATTATAAAAATAGAAGTTGTAAAAAGCATAGAAAATTGTAGAAAAAACATATGAATTAATAAAAAAATATAGAATTTTGTAGTAAAATACAAAAAAAATGTGCAACAAATTATAGGAAAATTCAGAAAATGCAAAAAACTTGTAGAAAAAATACAAATTTTGCAAAAAATCGAAATTGCATAAAAATAAAAATATAGAATGCAAAAATTGCAAATAAATAACAAAGAATGCAAGAAAGTGTAAAAATTGCAAAGAAACTAACAAAATGCAGGAAAGTTGCATAAATTGATAGAAACTTTCATAAAATGCAGAAAACATAGAACAATACATTATAAAAATTAATATATATATATATATTCAAAAATCAAATAAAAATATATTTAGAGATCATAAAAACATAGAAAATGATACAAATTTCAAAAGAAAATATAACCAACTAAATAACAGGAATTGCAAACAAAATAGAGAATATTCAAAAAAATATGTATGTGTTTAGCCAAAAACTATAAATTACATAAAATATAAAGATAATTAAAAAAACAAAAACCAAAATATATATTTTAACAAAAAAACGAAACAACGGAAATGTTAAAAAATACGGAAAAGTACGGATAGGTCTAATGCAGATTTATGATTTCTACACTCTATGCACCCATACCCACCCATGAATTGGCATCAATTCCAAACTGGCATCTACTCCAAATGTACTTTGTGCCTATGAATTCTCACCCTGGGCTGAACCATCATTCTCCCTATAAAATATACATTTCATCCAAACAGAAATTGGGAAAGGGAAGTGCTTGTTGTAGAAGCCGTAGGCTTCAATGGCTGTATTGGACATTCATTGAAATTTCTTTGTGGGAGGGAGAGATCTTCATTGACAAATACCTTTTCCGTGAAATTGAAACTTGAAATCAAGGATTTCGGGGCAGCCAAGCCAACAATTTGGGGTTTTGCTTTAGATCCGAAAGGGGAAAAGTCTTGAATATTGATTATCATTCTAGTTTGTCGCCAAAAGTAGATATTCCACTCATCTTTAAAAAAAAAAAAAAAAGAAATCATTCAATAAACTTTCGAAGGAGGTGAAATCCTCAAAGAGGTGTTGTATGAGATTCAAAGCTAAAGCTTCATCCAACATTGCTACCATGGTAGAGCTTGGTTTGAAGCTTTAAGAAGCTTTCGAAGGAGGCAAATTTGTCAAGGAAAATAAACTATTTCACAAATTTTGGAGGTTTGAAGAATAGAAGACCAAAGGTTGAGAGTGAGAGATTCATCCTTCTCTTTTTCAACAGAGGTGAAGAATATGACGAGAGAGAGAGAGAGAGAGAGAGAGTAAAACTTTAGTAAACCCTAGTTAAATCTAATAATGTTGACTCTAATGGGTCACTTGATGGATTGGTGTCAAAACTGTCCACTCTATATATATGTATGTTACAAATGCATACAAAATATAAGGTTTTGTACTCTACATATTTTTATTTGTACTCCTTCCAAATTGAGCCTTACACACTACATTACGTTGTTTTAAGTCATAGTTTTGCTTTTTTTTAATTAATTTGAATCATGGTTGAACCAGATGAAAGATGGTTTCATTTTCATGTCAATGTTAAGAATATGGGTTAAAAGGTTTTATACATGCCCCTAATTGGCTTGAATCAACAATGTAAACCAAATAAGGCATGGTTACCTTTTTTTAATTTATATTTAAAAAATTATTAATAGATGAAAATCCTAAATGAAAATCGAAGTTTTGTTCGATTTGATAGTAAATATGAGATAAGCAAAAACTTGAATTTCACATAATTTGTTAAGAACTTTCCCTCAACTTTCTACTAAGCATTTTGGTGCATTTCCTAAAAAACTAAATGCACATTGATATGAGAGAATAATGCAGAAAGGGTTGGACTAGATGAAAAAATTATTTAATTTTTAGGTCAATTTTAAGAATATGGGTTAAAAGTTTTCTTTTTTAAGGTATTTGGTGATACTCACCACTAATAACCCCCCTTTCCCTAAGTCAGTGGTTGCAGGAATCGAATCCATGTCTATGTTGGAATCATCCAGCTAACACACCAAACGAGTCACCCCTCGGTTGGGTTAATAGGTTGTATACGTACCCCTAATTGACCCTGAATCAATACTGTAAACCAAATAAGGCCTAGCTGTCTTTTTTTTATTATTTGAAAAATTATTAATAGATGAAATATACTAAAAGAAAATTTAAGTGTTGTTCGATTTGTTAAAAAATATGAGAGAAATAAAAACTTGAAATTCACGAAATTTGTTAAGAAGTTTCCTTAACTTTCCACGTTGAAGCATTTTAATTTGGTGCATTTCCTAAAAAAAAATAAATGCACGTTTATATAAGGGAATACCAATCAGGTTCTCATTTTTTTACTTTTTGACAAAGCAATTAGATATTCCTTATGAGACCTTTTTTTTACCAAAAAAGCTTTCCTTATGAGACCTTTTTTTACCAAGAAAAGCTACCCTTATGTTAATACCATTTTGACTAATTTGAACCAAATGGTTGAACTACTGACCCATTATTCAGATGAAAAGCCGGTTTCATTTTTAGGTTAATTTTAAAAAACATGGATAAAAAAAAGTTGTGTACGTATAGAAGCTCCCTTGTTGGCCTGAACTAATAGTATAAGCCTGAAGTCCCAAAAAGGAGAGTTGAAATTTTACTTTTGGAAAATAAATCAAATTGGGGAAAAAAATGAGATTAGAAGGGCTTTGGGTAGTAATTGATATGAAGAAAAATTTGGAACTACATGTATTCCAATACTTTGCTCCTACAACACTAATATTATTGCAAGGTAAAAAAATCCTATAATTCTCAAAACATAAAAAATAACAAAAATAGGCATGTATTTAATATGTTTTTCGTTTTTTGCTATTTTTAGTTTTTTTTGTATTTTATTCCTTGTTGTATTTCTTTTTTTGCAAGTATGCTTAACAAATGTGCATGTTTCTACTAAGGGTCCATTTGTTTCACGGAAATAAGGGTCTGAAATTGGAAATGGAATGGGCCATTCCAATTTTAACTGTTGAATTGGGTGGAATTGGAATCTCATTTTCATTATTGGTAGTATGACATTTCCCCATTTGAGGGAATGTCCATTTCTTCGGTTGGGAATGAAATTCTATTTCAGCTAATTTCAATTTCCATTCTGATTCTTGTATGAACTAAGCATAATATGGGAATAGTCCATTCTGATTCGGATTCAGATTTTGACTGTGAATCAAATGGACCCTAATATATATTTTGGCTGTATGGTACCTGTGGTTGCACCATAATACAATCCACTACGGATATACATTTAAGTGACTTATAGATATCTATCAAAAAAAAAAAAAAAGCTACTTATTATAGGCCGAAGCCCTCCCCGGGCCTGGCCCATGATCACCCCTGTTACCAAACAAGAGAATTCAATTTCCAGCCCCGTTTGACCGTTTCACCCCACTCAAGCGGAGCCAAATTGATTCAACTAGGAAAACCTTTTTCTATGCCTAACGTCGTCAAGGATGTCCGTCGGTAAAGACTAAGGAGACTGCTGCGCCTCAGCAAGCTATCGGAAGTGAGGTGAGACTCAACTTTCTCGTCCTCTCGTGAGTTTTGTGTTTGCCTTTCTGGTTGCTCACTTGCTCCCCATTAGCGTTGTTTCTTATTTCTGTTATATGCATTCCACTGCTGCTTGCCTCTTATCTGTGTAGTTTTATACAATAGCTCTGTGGTTTGATTTGGGTTTCGAAAAGGGATGGATAGGCTTCTAGCCATGTAAGGTGGTAACTCATTTGCTGTATTTCTGGGGTCTTATGTATTTTTGTTTTTAGGTGTCTTTGTTGTTCAGTAACAAGGTATTTACTCTGTTTCCATTTGTTTCCTAAATGGTCTTTGAGAAGATTCATTTCGGGGTTTCGTTTTCATGCCTTCTTCTGCATCTTCTCTTCATGGCTCTCGGTTTGTGCTCAAGAAGATGCCTTTGTTACCCCTTTCCTCCCATCCTTTGTCAACCTCGGCATCTATGGTCAAGGATGCTCAGTTCAAACAGCTACCTCCCATCCTGCACCATTTTCTTACCCTCTTGCAGGAGTTTTCAAGAAGCATTATCCATGTCAAGTCGATTCATGCTCAAATCATCACTAATTTTCTATCCTCAGATGAATTTGTGGCCACCAAATTAGTCAAAACATATTCTGATTTGGGTAGGTTATGTGATGCCCGCAAGGTATTTGATCGAATAACTGACCCCAAAGTCTTCCTATGGAATGCTATGATGGGTGGGTACCTCAGAAATGAACGATACATTGAAACCCTTGAATTATATCGGATAATGAGATCTCATGGTCTGCATACTGATAGTTGCACCTGTACTTTTGCGCTTAAGGCTTGTACAAGCTTGTCAAATGTTGAAATAGGAACGGAAATACTGAAAGAGGCTGCTGGTAATGGGTTGTCAAACGATCCCTTTTTTGGGAGTTCTATGATAAATTTCTTGGTGAAATGTGGAAACATAGATGAAGCTCAAAGAGTATTTAATGAAATACCCCAGAAAGATGTTGTTTGTTGGAATTCTATAATTGGGGGCTATGTACAGGTTGGTAGTTTTGATAGGGCTTTTGACCTGTTTTCCAAGATGCGACATTGTGGAATTAGACCGAGTGCAATAACCATGGTGAACTTAATTCATGCATGTGGAGGAACTGGAAATTTGGATATTGGGAAAAGCATTCATGCAAGTGTGAATTGTTTGGGGTTGAGTTGTGATATCTTGGTACTTACATCTTTGGTTGATATGTATAGCAAAATGGGTGATATTGAAAGTGCTCAGCAGGTTTTTAATAGGATGCCTTCAAGGAATTTGGTATCATGGAATGCCATGATTTCAGGATATGTGCAGAATGGATTGGTTTGTGAATCATTTGAACTCTTCTATAAGCTGATCTTAAGTGGTAGTGCCTTTGATTCTGCGACAATAGTTAGCCTCCTTCAGGCTTGTGCTCATATAGCCTGTTTGAATGGTGGGAAGATTCTCCATGCTTGTGCTTATAGAAGAGGTTTTGAATCAAATCTCATTGTGTTGACTGCTATTGTGGATTTGTACGTGAAATGTGGTGCTTTGAATTTGTCAACTTCTGTTTTTAATAGAATGAAGGGGAGAAATGTGATCTCTTGGACTGCAATGTTGGTAGGATTAGCACAGAATGGGCATGCAGAGGATGCATTAAAATTATTTGGTAAGATGCAAGAGGAGGGAGTTGCTGCAAATTCTGTTACTCTTGTTAGTTTAATTCATGCTTGTTCACATCTAGGCTCTTTGAAGAAAGGAAAGAGTGTGCATGCCCATTTACTCCGGTGCGGCTTTATATTTGATACAGTTAACTTGACAGCCCTGATCGATATGTATGCCAAGTGTGGAACCATAGAGTCTGCAGAGAGATTGTTCAACAATAGATCTTTGTCTAATGATATTGTGCTCTGGAATTCCATGATAACAACCTATGGCATACATGGTAATGGACATAATGCTATTAGAATCTACAACAAAATGAAAGAGGAGGGTCTTGTGCCAAACCATACTACTCTCATTTCTCTTCTATCTGCTTGTAGCCACTCAGGGCTAGTTGAAGAGGGGATAGCTATCTTTCATAGCATGAGTATAGATCATGGAGTTAAGCCGGGCGAGAAACATTATGCTTGCTTAGTGGATCTTCTCAGCCGAGCTGGTCGCCTTGAAGAAGCTGAGGCATTGATCAATCAAATGCCTTTTGCACCAAGTGATGCAGTGCTTGAGGCTTTGCTGAGTGGATGCCGGACTCACAAAAACATTGATATGGGTATCCGTACTGCAGATAAATTGCTTAGTTTAGATTCCATGGATCCTGGAATTTATGTTATGCTATCTAATATATATGCGGAAGGAAGGAGATGGGGTGAAGTAGACTATGTAAGGGGCATTATGAGGAAGAGAGGATTGAGGAAAACACCAGGATATAGTTTGATTGAAGTCTGTAACCAAGTCCATGCATTTTTTTCTGGTGATGATTCACATCCATTATGGGAAGAAATTCATTTGATGTTGGAGGGTTTAAGAATACAAATAGAGGCTTCATACTATGTTCCCCATGCTACTTTATATTAACATGATTGGAAATGCTAAGCCTATGAATTGTTCTGTTCTCACATCTTTGCTCATTTTAATGTGAAGAGCACTTTTGCCTTATTATATGGGGTTTTGGTGTTTCTTTTATCTGAAAAAGCCATGTGGTAAGTGGTAATGCATTCGTCTTATATTTGTATTCAGAATAATTTGTGTTTTTCCTTGATTTTTTAATTTCTGGGAAGCTGTAGCCTGTAGGATGAATTTCTTACCTTAGTTATCAAGGGGATACTAGGTAATAGGGTATGCCTTGTTGTCACCAAAGTGCTTAGGTGACACCTAAGCAAACGAGCTTTATTTATTGGGCATGATCCATGTTAGTATGTGTTATATTTTCAATTTCTTATTATTTCATATTTAACAATATTGATAGAATGCCAGCAGTCATGAATCTTGCATATTGGAATGCATTAAAGCATTAATGTCAAAAGGCTATATCATTTTCAATCATAAAGTTCAATGTTTTTTACATAATATAATCAATTATAGTCATCAAAGAATAAGACATTTAGGCTGCATTTGGAAGCAGTGTAAAATCTGGTTCAATGTAATTTTACACTCTGGCTCAGTTTTACAGCTGTTTGGTTGGAGTGTAAAATAAAAACAAATATTGATGTAAACAAGCTTTTCGATAGATTTTTACATCGAGAACCGATGAGTGTGATTCTCTCTTCCTTGGTGTCGTTGCTTCTTCGATGAGTGTGATTCTCTCTCTCTCTCTCTCTCTCTCTCTCTCCAAAAACAACTGTTGTGGCAGCCACCATGACCTCAGACATCCGACTGCGATCAGGATCACGACCTTAGTTGGTCAGTGGCCACCACGATGCGACATCCAGGATTCCGAGATGGAATCAGTCGGTCGGTGGTGAAAACCCAGACATGTCTTGGACAAGAGAGAAGCTTCTGCAACTACATGGTTTGGAGTAGCGGCAAAGAAGCTCCAGTTTTCAATCCCAAAACCAGAGTCTCAGTCTATAAGCCTAAATCCTATGAAGCTCTTGTCACATGTGCAGCATATTTTGATCCCAGAGCCAGATTTCGATCCCAAATTGACTTACCGTGGGTTTTCCTATTACCAGATTTTGTCTCTACGAAGCTCTTGTTCTTTCTCAGGTTTTCCCTTTTAATTTCTTGCAAATATTTAACACCGATTCATCATTCATCCACTGATTCATCAAGGAAAAATAGGGGTTCTTGTTCTACGATGAAAACAAAAGCATTTATCTCAGCAGAAACTTTTTAGGATTTTGAAAATCATGTTCAATGTTGGACATGGAAAAAAGAGGAGAGAGATTGAGCAATCGAAGATTTAAGCGACACTACCTTTTACATCGATCATCCAAACACACAAGAGTGTAAAAGGAGTATAAAGCCGGTTTGCTTTTTACACTCAGAAATCTGACCGTTGTAAAACTCCATCGGTGTAATTTTGTATTTACACCGCAAACAAACACAACCTTAACATCATGAATATTCATATTAGTAATAATTCAAACAAATAAGTAAACCAACAACTGAATAACATAGAATCCAAACAAAAATATTACGACATATATCTATAAAAAATATATTATGACATACTGATTGCAGCATGAAGTAATAGCATATCGAATCCAAGCAAGCAAGTATTGCAACAAGAATCCAAGCAAATAAGTAATGAAGAACATGCTTGTACATATACTAGTAAATGTGCATGTGTGTTGCACGTGGAAATTTTAGATAACAATAATAATTGTCCTTATTAGAATCCATATAACAAAGACAAGAATCAAAGTTGTTGAGTTATTTGGGCCATGAGGAGCATCTTATTTTATGGGCCATCCTTTCTTTATTTTATGTTGTTGGGCTTTAGTTGTAGTGGGCTTACTTGGTCCTTTCTGTAAAGAGACTGGGCCGAATGGGCCCTACCATCTTCTCTTGTAATATCTTTTATTTTATTGTTGGCTAATGGGCCTCTCTTAATGGGCCTGTTATTTCTCTTTGTTTAATCTCTTTATGTTACTGCCTAGCTGGCCGCCCACTTAAGGGCATACTTGTCATCACTCTATTTTTAATACTTCATAAAAGGGGTTAGAGGAGAAAGGAGAATATATTCGACTTCTTCTTCTCTTTCCTTCTCTTTTCGCCATCTTCTTCTCTTGTATTGCTGCTCTCACTTCTCTTCTTCCTTTCTTCTAATCTTCAAGTTTACACCTAAGATTTGAGGACTGATTTACATCTCTTTCTTTTCTTTATTCTTGCAGCTGCCCTCCTAAGGGTATGTACATTTAATTAATAATAGTTTGAATATATCAAAGTAGAGGGCTGGATAACAGCCATGGTTACTTCTTCTTAAAACCATTCTTTCTTCTTTCAACTGTTTTGAATCTTTCCACTTGACTTGTGTACTTATTTGAATAAAACTTGAGATTTGTGCTCTTCATTTTTCTACTTGGTACGAAAGCAGGTTCTTTCTTCTCTTGAATCCATACAGTACTAGGATCAGCAGCATAGTTGTCAAGACGACGCCTAGGCGACTAGGCGCTTTTCAAGGAGCGCCTCGCCCAAACACCAAGAAAAAATGTATTAGGCGCATGCTGTGGGGACTGAAACACATATATAGTATACAATATTTTATTAAATAAAAATAAATATATAATATATAATATTTTATTGGTTGGTTTTAGTTTTTATAATAGGATATGTTGCATGTTATCATTTTTTTGTTATGAGGAAAGTATAAACAAAATAATCTCAAGGGTTTTCATTCACTTTACAAAAGAATTGAATGAGGAAGAAGAGAGAACAGCCCTCCATCGTTCCGACACAATCCTTTAAGTCAAGGTGAGCTAATCAGTTTCCTCCTTCGTTTTGTTCTCTTTTTCCACTGATTTAAAACAGTGGTTACGCCCTATTGTTCTCCTCTTCCTTGTTGGACTAAAACCATTATTCTTTCCTGGTTTGAATCATATTATTGGACTAAAACAGGGGCTCCGCCSCCTTCTTTTGTTCTGAAATTTCATGCGTGTTTTCAACTCCTTTTCCCTCATTATTGGTGTCTGAAATTCTTCATAGTCTTCTTTTATTTGAGTATTTTTTTCACCAGCTTTTCTGGGTCTAGAACAGGGACTCCGCCCCCTTCTTTGTTCTTAGCTTCTTGCATTTTTCAGCCCTTTTTGTGTTCTCATCATTGGTGTCTGAAACAGGGGCAGAGCCCCTTCTATTCTTCTTCGTTTTTTTTTTTTCTTTTATTTTAATATTTTTCACCTTCTTTTTCTGGGTCTAGAACAGGGGCTCCACCCCTTACTTCTTCATTTTCTTCTTTTATTTTAGCAATTGTTCTCATCAAGCAACACTGCATGAAACACAAGCACAAAAGTAAGTGCAGAATACATAAAACCAAAAAAATTAGTACAAAAGGGGTAGAAATCCATCGGCTTCTTATTTTTAAATTCCATCGCCTAGGCGAGGGCTAGGCACCCGCTTAGGTGCCTGGGCGCCCCATGGTCACCTAGCCTCGCCTTGGCGCCGTGAAAACTATGATCAGCAGTGTGTATGGAGAACTAAGTTGCTAATCATCTCTCTTATTGCTCTCGCCTGGTTGGGAGAGGATTCAGGAGACTTTTCATTGTGGTCAGAAGAAGTTCCTGGAGAACATTGCCCTAGATATGAACCAAAGAGAAATGTCTTGTTTTTTTAATGCAGCACTTGGAGGTGGTTTGAGGCTGGTGCTTAGGGTTTCCTAGGAGTATTTTTATAAACCACATTGAGATCGACAACCTTTGGAGATTCATCTGAAACCACTAGTTGGAGTGGCTGAACTTTCTCCAGTTTATCACAGAATCCAGGGTTGGTGAAACCCTATTAACTTGTGTTGATTGATCTGACTGTAGGTAGGTTGTTCTAAGGTTGGTATACCTTTATTTTGTTTACAATGATTCTGTTGGTGAATAATTGAATCAATGTAGTAATCTAGATTTGATTCACAGCAGAATATGGAGTCTAGAGTTGGTCTAGTAAGGATTGTAGAGAATTTTTTTTCAATGTGGTGACTGCAATTAAATTGCATGGCAGTAATTACTTGGAATGGACTCAATTAGTATGCTTTTGTGTTTGTAGCCGTGGCAAACTAGGCTATGTTATTGGTTGCGCAAAGAAACTAGAGGTCTTAGATCCCACTTGCAAGAAGTAGATGCGGGAGAATTACATGGTTATCTCATGCTTGTGAACTCTATGCACACCAGCAAAAGTTAAAGTTATTTATGGATGAATTCAACCAAAGAAGTGTGGAATAATGTGGCTGAAATGTATTCTTAGAAGATGAACATTGCTAGAGCCTAAAAGTTGAGAAATGAAGTCAATAATTTGACAGTGGGAGAAACTATTAGCATTGTACTAATCAAGTTTAAAGTCCTTATGGAAGGAGATTGATTGCTTGGTGACGACTTTCGAAAAAGTTCTGGGGATTCTGCTAGACACAGAAAGTTGGTGGAGAGAAATAAGATCTTCGAGTTGTTAACATGACTCAACTAGTCAACTCTAAGTATGATATTACAGGGCAGAATATATTTAGCTAAGGATGATGCGACTTTGTCTTATGCATATTCTTTGATTTGATCCTAGAACATCATGTGAAAGACAATCACTCTTACCATTGGGCCATGTCAAACCAAGCTACTAAAAAGTTGGTTTTAACTTTTAAGCCATATTTTCATAAAACGAAAGGTGTTACAAGGTTAATGGGTTGGGTTGGGTTAAGGTCAGTTTGGGTTGAAAGTCTAAACCTAACCCTCCCAATTAGCATCCCTAAAGAATGCGTCCAACTCTTCAATGCTTGCTGCTTGTGGATTGTGCCCTCTGTTTAGAGCTCAGTTGAAGTAGTGACAAGAATCCATGGATGATTTCTGAAACCTTAGTATTTCTGTTCACACATGCCGGAATGACTTCATAAATAACTTAAGGCTCAGTTTGGAAAGAGTACAGATACAAATGTTTACAGTGCAAATACATACAAAATACAAGGTTTTGTGCTCTACATATTTGTATTTGCACTCCTTCCAAACTGAGCCTAAATTACTAAGAAGCCTTCTAAAAGTTGATTTTTTGACCCGTTACAAGTTTGACAAAAATTTCTATTTTCTAACAAGAAACGACTTCTAAATAAATCCTAAAAATACTAAAACTCTAATTCAAAACTTGTTACAGACTCATCTGTTGTTTTGCAAAATGGCCATAGTATCAGGCAATTTTGGTATTGGTCAATAGATTATTGGATAACCTATCTAATGAACCCAAAATTAAATGAAAGGGGCAACTTTTGACCCTTCAAAACCTATTTCCTTCTTGGGTAATTAACCTGGAAAAGACAAATTAATTTTTGACAAATGGAGTCATGTAGCAGTATTTGGTGACCAGAAATCTTAATAACTTAATGATATTAATCTATGGATATCAGGGAGCTTGGCAGAGGAGGGTCAGTGAAACAATGGCCTCAAGAGGAGTCAATGCCTTGGCTTCAAGAGCAAGTAGAATCAAGCACAAGTTGCAATCTGCTTTGGAAGCAAGTGTGCTGGAGGTTGAGGATGTTTCTTACCAGCATGCAGGCCATGCGGCTGTTAAGGGAAGTACAAATGAAACACATTTTAATGTGAAGATTGTATCACCAAAATTTCGTGGGCAAAGCTTGGTGAAACGCCATAGGATGGTATATGATCTATTGTCTGAAGAGCTTCAATCCGGATTGCATGCACTTTCAATTGTGGCAAAGACTCCACAAGAAGCTGGGGGAAGCTAAGTGGTTGGTTATATATACCTCAGGACATTATAAGACCTAAATTAAGTTTGGTTGTTAATGACCTACAATAATAGATTGTACTCTTTTCAATGAAGTATCAGATGCAAATGTTCTACTTTATAGTATGGATGTTATTATGATCTCCTGTTAGTAATCCCATGCATTAATTTGTGTGCTATCAATCTTGAGTCTCCATTTAGTTGGGTATCTTGTTGATGGGCCACAGAGAAACCATTCCAAATGTAATTGCACCCTGTTACCCTTTGACCATTGTGCATAGGACTAAATACACCAAAGAGTAAATCAACCTTTACATTGTTTTAATGCGGCCCACAATACATGTTTGCATGTACTGGTTGGAGGGTAAATAGTGTTATGATCTCATTAGGACTCACCTTTGCCATTATACTATATGTTTAATTCCACTGGTCTATCATTTTTTTTCCATCAAGGAGGATAAATATTGGACTTTAGCTAGCTTTTAATAACAATACAATGAAGTGGTTGATGTCCTGATGTTAATGTATGAACAATGGGTCTGATGTAGATCTTGAATAAATTCCTCTGGTGCACTTCTGTTGCGCCTGTAAGGCTGAGATATTTCCGGGGAGGGGTTTTAATGAGTTAGCAAAATAGCAAGTACATCTTAACAACGTGGATGGAGTTTTCCCTTTATGCTATGTTTGGTTTGAAGGAAAACGTAGGGAAAGGAAGGGAAATGTAGGGAAACCTATACAAGGTTTGTAATGGTTTCCTATATTTCCCTACATTTCCCTACTTTTTCCTTTAAACCAAACACATCAAATATAGGTTCAAGAGAACAGTGGTTGGGCCAAGGGACCTGGATCTGGAAGGAAAAAAAAGAAAGAGAACGAGAAAATGGCAAATACTAAGTGCAACCACGAAAACCGGCTGTATAGTAAAGTGAAATCCATATTAACAACCAATCATCCCCATGAATTTGGTAAATTACTTCCATGGTTTTTAAAAGATGGGTTTGGCTTTACCATGCAGTCGGTTACTGTAGCTGCACCTTAGTGTAAACATTAATTTGTCAGACCGTTTTGAGAGTATTTTTGAAAAGAAAATAAGGCCCCATTTTGTTCGCGAGAATAGGGGTCTTAATTGGAATGGGATATTCCGATCTCAACTGTTTGATTGAGTGGAATTGAAATCTCATTCTCATTCTTGTTGGAATGGCATTTTCCCATTTGAGGGAATGGCTATTCCTTGTCCCTCTCTTGGGAATGAAATTCTGTTCCTGCTAATTTCAATTTCCATTCCCATTCCTGTTTAAATCAAACATACTATGGGAATTGGCTATTCTTATTCCAATTTCAGAGGATTCCGATTCTGATTCCAATAGCAAATCAAACGGACCCTAAAAAAATCTGTCCTTATAATATAGTTATTTATTTATTTATAATTTATTGTATAAAATGAATTGGTTTTGACCCATGAAAACTTATTCTCTTCTTCTTTCTCAAAATTTTGCAGTTTTTTTCAATTAAAAAAAACAAAAACAAACAGCAAACATGGGGTTAGGGCTGCTTATAATCACCCACAACCAATTCAATTTTCTTTTTAATAAGAAAATAAATCTAATCACTGCTTGACATCTTTTAACACCATTACGGTGCTTCACGTGGGTTTTATATATGGTTTTTGTGAATATTGTGTTTTTTGTCAATTTTTTGAAAAATAAAATATAAGAATCAAATATGGGCGGGGGACCTTTTTAAACTTACAATCAATTTAGTTTCTTAAGGCTGCATTTGGAAATGATGCAAATAGAGCGTAAATCTTGGTTTAGGGTAAATTTGCACTCTGATTCACTTTTGCTTGTGTTTGATAATATTCCATGTGGCAAAATGAGCTTACTTTTTAGGGTATTTTTATAGTGATTTATTATAAAGTACGTGGAATCATGGGGGAGAACAATACAGTTAATTTATTTATTTATTGGGTGCAGGGGGGTTCTCTTGGTGGAGGGGTTGCCTCCATGAATTTTATTAATAATGTCAAAAAAGGCCTACCAGGGGAGGGGACGGAAAAGCCTTACCTCTTTGAAAATCTATATACAAAGGGTCATCAGTTCATAAGCAATAAGCCAAAACAAAAAGGAAAAAAGCTCATAAGCAATACATTAATAAAAGGTCTGATGTCACCTAAAAATAAGTTGGCCATCACATCAATTGCCATCCATATTGCCTTACGGGAAATTATGAATAAATGTTTTCAAAATTACATTATTTTTACTTGTTTTTATTTTCAAAAAACAAAATCAACCATCTCTCTTTATATATATAGGGCCAATTGATGTGCATTTGTCAAATGGAATCTTTTTTTATATAACCTAAATAAAGAAATCTTATAATCTTTTCCATGATGCCATTGAATAAAAAAAACCATAATTTGTCCTTTCTCCTTTTCCTTTTTCATATTTGATATTAAACATGTAATTATTTACAATGGTGCCATGACTAATTATTTACAATGATGCTATTAAACTTCTACCTTTTTCATATTTGTTAAAAATTGTTTGTATCTCTCATTTTATTTACAATCAGGCTGTATTGGGTCATGCCATGTGGGTTGTGTTTCCCTCCCTTGGAATACTTTAGGGGATCAGCCCGGTATAGCCCTCAACTCGAGCCTGTGCAGGCCTGTGTCGTGTCGTGGGCTGGGACTAGTCTGCAAGCCAAGTCTTAGGCTAGGCTGGGCCATAAATCGGGTTATTCCATGTTTTTTAAAAATTTGAAAAAAATAATAAAAATGTTAACATAAATGAAAAAATAGATAAAAAATAAAAAAAACATCTTAAAATTTTATTTTATATGAATTTTGATGTATATAATTGTTTATGTATGCAATAATAAAATGAAATAATATAATAAAATTGAAAATAAAATTATATATTATATAATTATTGTATATAATATACAACCCGAGCCTGCGTGGGCCAAGTCTTAGGCTTGGCCACAAACTAGACTAAGCCATTTTTTTTAAATCTTGAAAAAATAATGATAATTTTAACATAAATTAAAATAAACAGACCAAAAAAATTAAAAAAAAATCTTAAAATTTTATTTTATTTGAATTTTGATATGTACAATTGTTTATATATGCAATAATAAAATTGAAAATAAAATTATATATATTAATATATCACAGTAATTATTGTATATAATATACAATTCGAACCTACGCAAGCCCGTGCAATGCCACGGGCCAAGTCTTAGGCCAAGCTAGGCCATGAACCGGGCTAAGCCATATTTTTAAAAAATTAAAAAAAAATAATGAAAATTTTAAAGAAAATCTTAAAATTTTATTTTAGCTCGAACTTGCATGGGCCCGTGTCATAAATTAACATCAAAAGATGGGGAAAAGCGAGAATGGGATACACCATTCTCTATTTAAATCTTGCATTGATGTGATAAATGAATAAAAAAAAGATAAACCAATAAGATAAAAAGATGGGGAAAGCGAGAATGAAGCATGCATAGATGAAGGAAAACCTCCCACTAGTGAAGAGTATTTATTTGAGTTTACAAATGAACCCTTTTCTTACAAAATAGTATTGTTCGAAATAGAGAGAATTATAAGAAATTAAGAAGAAAGAAACAGTTGTATTTGAATAAAATTCAGTTACTACAATGGAATGGAAGGGAAGGTAATTCATAATTTTTTAAGGGATAAGGACTTAAACCTCCCTTGAGCTTTCTCATAAATACTAACATCTCCCTTCTATTTTCTTTCTAAAAGGACTTAAACCTCCCCTATTAGTAGACAGTGCCGTTAAATTTGACAGAATCGATGGAAGGAATTTCTTACCATTCATTTATTTTTCAAAATTTTAAAATGAACCACTGAAGCAAGAATATGTTTTGGTTAAAACCTCATCAATAAACGTGTACAAGTTAAAACCTTCTAAGAGTATGCATCTTTGTTGCTGCTTCCTGCTTGTACAAAATCTCTTGAGGTTTTTCCTTAATGGTTGAAGCTATGTTTTCATGGAGTCCACGCGTAGGCAGGTAAAGAAATGCAATTCCATTATCCATTCAACCTAACAAAATATCTACATGTTTTTTTTCATTTTTGGCTTTACTCAATACTTCATTTTGATTGGTTCATAATCGATGAAGTTCAAATCCTGATCACTGTTGCTTGTTGGTAAAAATTTGGATTAATTTCTTGAATTTAGGACAAGAAACATTACAAAATAGAATCTTTGATGGTAATCGAAGTGTCATATTTGCCCATCACTATTTATCAAATTTCATCCCCTATTTCACCGTCCGCCTCTACTCTCTCTCCATTCTCAGATCCTTGTGGATCGAGCTGCGATAAATAGTCCCCAGATGCCGAATCGTCTGGGTCAGGGTCTTGGATTCGACGCCGCTGCCAGGAGTTGCAACAGCGATGACCAAGAAAACAAAACAAAGAAGAGGGTTTGATTGCAAAGAAGACGATGAGTAACCGGGTTCGCTTCATTGGTTCCCCATAGGGGTTCGCTTGAGGACAGACGCTTGATTGGAAAGAAGACTAAGAAGAGGGTGCGCTTTAGGACAGGGGACAACAGTTCGATTGCATAGAAGACGAAGAAGAGGAGAGAGAGCCCTGTTCGGTTTGTTCGATTGTAGAGAAGACGAATGTAGCAGCGAGGTGAGGTGGGGGAGGGAGGGTTTGACGGCGACAACTGCTGTGTTGTAGTACCTCATCACCGGCGACAACTGTAAGCACCTCATCGATTGAATCAGAGGTGCAGCGGCGAGGTGAGGTGGGGGAACATTTCATCAACATCGAAGGAGTACTATCCAAAGACCTCTTAATCTCTGCTATTCGCCATTAGATCAGGCTCCTGTTTCTTCGCCCACATCAGATCGGGCTCTAGATTTCAGTTTGAAGGTCGTTGGACGATCCGCCATCAGATTAGGCTCCCATTTCTTCGCCCACATCAGATCATGCTCCATATTTTAGTTTGAGCCTTGTCTTTGTCGGAGCCCTGTCTTTGTGCAAACGGAGGTGGTGGTGGTTCCGGCCGAGGCTCCATCCATGCACAGGCGGGGCCCTGTCTTTGCTTGAGGTTTTTCCACCTGTCTTCATCGGAGAGCAGGACGACCTCAGCTGGAGGAGAACTAACATCTGGTGAAGGAGCCAAGATGAATCATGCCTTTCACTT